AGCCTGTTTTTTTTTTTTTGAAGGGGGTTGTGAGTCTGTTCCCAGGTTTCAATCAAACGCGACAACAGGGGGAAACTCTTGGTTGTACAGAAAAGTGTACCTGAGGAACCCTGTGAAGAGAAACCTTCACCTGGAGGGATCCAGGTGATAAATCTGGGTTGCCACGCCTTCTTATAATTTAGATTACGCCATAAATCACCCAATTGGCCGACTGCAGAGAGAGTTAGAAGGATTTTAGAGCCTACAAATGAGGTGGATAAATGTCAGGAGACGTTCCTTAATGGGACGGGTGGCAGCTTTTTTCTTTTAAACAAAATTTTTATCATTTTTTCTGAAATAATACAACGAATGTACATAAGTATTTTTACATTTTTAAACATAAAAAAACAAAACACAAAGACAGGGTGATTTCAAGAGTGTGAGAAAAAAGCAAAACAAAACAAAAAAACCTTATTGCATAATTAGTGGAACGACAGGTCTCCAACGTTTATTGAAAATGGGTGTTTGTAGTCTCAGGGAGTATGTTATATATTCCATTTGGTATATATCCCAGACCTTCTGAACCCATATATTGTAGGAAGGAGGCTCCGGTTTGAGCCATCTGATAGTTAAGCATTTTAGAGCCACTGTTAATAATATATTTTCCATCTCGTGTAGTGATAGATTTAGGTTTTACTCCCAATAAGGCAATGGGGTGGCAGCTTATGTTTCAGAATCCTGTAGGTTATCGCTGAGTAGCATCTCTTAAAGCAGGAATCCATTGGTTGCTAAACACCCGTGAAAGGGAAGATTAGCACTCCAACGAGTTATTGTTGTTTCTAAGTGGCAGATAAGGGCGGATCAGGGTTGTTTTGTGGAAGTACGCCAGGCCTGAAGGGCGGGGGCGACCCCCCTGATGACAGGCACCGATTCAAATCACGATTACCTCTTCAGGAACGAGGCTTTTCTTTTGAGCCGGGCGGGTCTGGGGTTGGTGCATCTGCACAGAAACAAGCCTCAGCTATCCCAACAACAGGCCGGCTGCAGAGTTATTGCCGCATTCAAGGGCTCAAAACACCCTAAAACCCTCAAGATTTGCTCCCGGTTTGTAGTTTGATGTGCTGATATGATCATGCAAGTCTAAAATAATGTTTCTGTTTGTGCTTAAACCTTAAATTCTAGTCCTCTGATTTTCTCTGTGTTCAGTTTTTTGCAGAGAAATGGAGACAAAAATGACTATTTGATCAGGTGAGTCGGTGTCCGATTTGTTTAACCTGTTTTTTGTAAATAGGCAAAATGCATAAATGATCACTTGTCCATCAGGACAGAACTCTGTCCAGTTTTAGAGTCCACACACATACCGGAGCAAAGAGGGGGCCTAACTCTGAGCCTGTGTCCAGAACATAGCCGCCATCTTGAAAGCCGCCATCTTGGATCACGGGGGAAGTTTTTCCAGAGGGAAGGAGGTCATGGAGCATGTCAGAAAAAAGGTAAGTAATCAGATTTGAAATT